AATTTTTCTGCTCTGGAAATGCAACAAAATGATCATGTTTAAAATTCAAACCCATCCCAATGGGAAAAAAAATATCAATAAGTTAAACTACATTATACAAGTGTGGATTTATTCTGCAAGTTGCGATTTTTATACAACCTTCCAATTATTAGTCGGCAAGAAAATTATAGTAAATCGGTCTATAATGTCGTCGTACACTTTAACTTGATCCATAGTCTAAAATATTGTATTCATTTCTTATTGGTAAGTGACCTTCAACCAAATATTTCCGTTGTAATTAGTTTATTCAAATATTTTACACTTCTCTTATTTAAAAATAATTTATTTATTATTTTAGACATTTATGCATCATTATATTCTAGAAATCATCATCCATTCCATCTCTTATCTTAGAGAACCATCATTCCCATCCATAGGGAATTTCCATTTCCATTGGATAAAACATTTCAAAAAATGGAATCATAATTCATGATGATGACCTATTCATTTTTCTTAGAACATATTTTTCTTCTAACCAAACAAAGAAATTAATAATATCGTCAATTAATGTATTGAAAGACATAGCGACTCAAGTTTATGTGAATAGTAGGAACTTTCTTCATCAATTATTTGGGAGAAAAAATTTATTGATGATAAATCTTTTTAAAGTTATAATAGAATCTTTATTCCTTTCAAATCAACATTCTTTTCTTTTAATTTTTTGTTCAATTGCCAATAAATAACATCAATTTAGATTAAAAGAGCAAGGGAATAATATAATTATTAGTCCCTATTCTTTTAGGGTGTTTCAGTATTAGTCCCTATACATTTTTTTTTCTTGATTTCAAGTCTTTTAAAATGAAGACCTTCAATAATGCTGCCATGAACTTTCAGAGTCTTTTTTTTTTTTTTTGGGAGATCTGAGAGTGCAAATTATGATATTCAGATCTTAATTCAATAAGACTTCCAATTGACAGTAAAAAAAGTACGTAGAAAAATGAGTATAATTATGGGCTATGAATTGATCAACGTGTGTACCTATAGATTTGATTAGCTAACTTATCATTCAATAATTTTCATACGGCCATGACAGGTTGCATAATAAAGCCAAAACAAGGAATTTGAATCAACTCACAGATAAATGATAAATAAAATAATTTAAGTGCTCATCAACAAAAGAATAATATATTAAAAAAAACTTGGAAACTTGACTCTATCACCTTCAGTAGAAATGAGATCTAAGACATCAAATCTCATCCTTCTGTCTCTAATTGTGTGCTCTTATTTTCTGGTATATATGTATGTTGACTCATCCTTTAAGTTTGCTCTTAATTTATTAGTTTCTCTGCTATTTTACAATTTTTTTTAAGAAAATGCTTCCAAAGAGGAAAATTGAAAAAGGAGACTCTTGTTGAGGCATCGTCAAGAAATTTGCAATCTGCAAAAAGTGGTAATTAACTTCACTTTTTTGTTGATCAATATCAATCGCAGTGTCTATATTATTAGTGTGTGTGTGTGTGTGTGTGTGTGTGTGTGTGTATCTATATTTCGATCTTCTGTTTCATAAGTTCTTTCTTCTGCTTCAGTACTAAGAGTTAAAGCGAAAAATAAATTCCACTATGGTTCTCATCTTTATCATGCTATAACATCAAATAAATACTGATGTTTATGTGTAATTACTTAAAATGAGTTGTTTATACCTCATTGTTTCAAATATTTTGGAAAGTTGTGACGAAAAAAGAAAACATATAGAATCGATAATTTTGCTGGGCATCTTAAGAGATAGAGGGATAAATGGTTACGACTTATAAGACAATGGATGGAAGTTTCACAAAACCCAAAGTCAAAAACAAAAAGTAAAGACACTGATGATTTCATTTTTTATATGTCTATTCTGAAAAATCATTGATACATGTATATATAAATTAGTCATGAAGACTGTGTAATAACTATCATAATTACCCACTAATTTAATGCATTACCATGGTAAATAAAGAACTTGATCCCACATTAATCATTATCATGGTAAGTAGAACTAAACAAGAATGATAAAGTCAAATGCAAATTCAATAGCAAATATACTTTTAAAAATAGGATTCCAAGTTTAAAATCATCATTTAATAATGTCATTTGAGGTCAAATGTTTTAAAATCAGAATAATCTAACGAAACAAAGCATATAAATATCAACCAATAGCATCACACATCAAATCAAGGGCATAAAGGTTAATTTACCCCTTTCTAGCACGCCTGTTGTGGCTGATTGCATGTCAGTTGTGGCTGATGATGTAGTGGGCACAAAGTCCCTCCACTTACTACAGTGCATGTAGCATGTGCCACACCACATGACAAAATCGTGACAAATGCTGTCATGATAACACAGTAAGTCTAACTTTTGATGTGCGTAGTTTTGTCGTGGGATATCCGATCTGCAAAAGGACTTAACTAATTGACTTCATTTTTTGTTTGATCAATATCAATCTCTGTGCTTATATTATTAGTATATGTATTTATTCTGCTTCAGTACTTAGAGTTAAGCGAAACATCAATTACACTCTGGTTCTGATCTTTATGTTGTAAAAAATCAAATACGAGGAGATTATGAGGAGATTATAATGTTCCCAGGTCTCCTGGAACAATTTACTATTTTGCTATGTGAAGAAGTGAATCTTGTCCCTTAATTCTGAAGTCTTTTGAGAAGAATAATTTTTTAATATAAATTGCTCATGCATCTCCATCCAAGAGCTTATGGAAGCTTATGGTAATCATAAAACCATTGACGAGCTTCTCCTTTTAAACAGTAAGGAAAGCAACGCAGCTTTAAATCATCATCTGATAGATTATTTAGCAGTAGTATATCAATTACCATATAAAATTCTCGTATAAAATCCAAGGCATCTTTAGTTTGGTGTTCATTGAAATTCGGTAGTGCATTTAAGTGAATATTCTTAAATTCATAATTACACACTCTCATACTTAGTTGGATGTATGATGGATTAGATGTGATGAATGAGTATTGAATATCTTTAAATGTAACAGATGGCTCTGGAATAGTTTCATCACCTATCTTTCTTCTTCTTTGAGATCTATTTTTTCTGCAAAACCATTCAATTTCTAGATTAATAGGAATCAAATTTAAGTCACCAAAACTTCTCAGTTGCATAAAAAAATAAAAATAAAAAATTAGAAGGAAAAAAATTTTAAAAAATAAAATGAACTGAAAATTAAGTAGTTAGTAAATTCATAACTTCCCCAACAAGGGCGCCAAAAACTTGATCGGTCCTGTAAGTGAATGAGATCATAGTAATAAATTACCTGGAGTATTCCAGGTGTCAAACCCATAAGGAAGTTCCACTTTTACTAATTCAAATAATTATTAGTTTAAGAAAAATAGATAAAATGGATAATTTTGATGAAAATATAAAGAATAAAAATAAATCAAGAAAATAATGATGATGAAAACACAATTACTTAAAGCATTGGAGTTTAAGATTTACCCTATAGGTTGCTAGTTTCTACCCTTTGAGTTGACTCTAATTAATTATAGTGACAACTATTCATAAAGTGTCTTAATATTCTCCCGAATTATTAGTCCTTTTTTAATTAGCATTGAATTTGCTCCCACAATACCTAAGCAATTAATTAAACCATGAAGTTATAGTTTAAGTCACCACAAATTTCTAGAACCATCCCTAGCCTAGTAGTTTATGTTTATTTCACTAGATCTAGGTTCTTTCTTCACCTCTCAGTCCATTAAGATTACCCATAGATTTGATGAAATGGTCGCCAGTCATTAAATCAAGATAAAGAATAAGAGAAATAAATATAATTGAAAAAAGAAAAATATTCATAAATATAAATGTAAAGAGTCAAAACAAAGGAAATAGAAAACTAGCTCCCCAATTGGGCTACATCCCTATCCCAGCTAAGTAATTTAGAAACACATAATAAAATCAAATAATACTATTCTAAAATCTCCAATCATGAAAAATAATCACAAAGAAAATTAAGGAGTAGAAAAAAATAATTATGAACTGTAAAACTCCTCAACGATCTCGCTTTTAACCTTTAGAACACTTCTACGAGCTCCAAATATCTCAGAAAAAATTATTGAGGTACTTAGATAAGTGATTGGATGCCTTTCCTCTTAACGAAGAGAGTATTTATAGTTAAAGTAAAGGCTCATTTTTTTTTTCCTTGTCAATGTGAGACTCTGATATATATATATATATATATATATAATATATATAACATTTCATCTTGTGTAACTTTTTTTTCATTCTTTGAAATCTCGTCCTCTTCACATCATCTTTCCATAATATCTAGTCTCCATGTATGTATTTTTATCCTCGTGACAATAGCTTCCCACGTTTCCTTCCTTCATATATATATATATATATATATATATATTTCTCTTTTCTTTTTTTTCTTTTATTTGCTTTATTCTTTTTTTCTGGAAAATATAACAATAAAAAGATATGAGTACATTTTATATTAAAATCCCTTTCTATCTTATAATTAAATGATGAGAAAAAATATATAAATATTAATTAAATAAATATGAAATCTTAATAAATATAATCACATTCAAACCAAAATCTATACCTATTTAATTATAAAATATGCACTTGTCACCCATCTTTCATAGGATTCTCAAGTTGTGAGGTTTTGGTGTTGTTCAAACTTCAAAGTGATAATGTTTATAATTCAAACCCATCCCGAATGGAAAAAAAAATATATCAATAAACTAAACGCAATAAGACATTACAAGTGTGGAATATTTTAAGAAACTATTGGATGATGGAGAAGAGGAGTATAAAATATTTGAATAAACTAATTACAAAGGAATAAAATATTTCCTTATAATGAAGGTCAATACCAATAAGAAATGAATATAATATTTTATACTAAGGATATCAAGGTGCACAACATCGATCGCATTGATTTACTATAATTTTCTTGCCAAGGAAGATTATATAAATATCGCAACTTGTACAATAGAACCAAAACGACACTTGAGATCTGAATCACCTAACATATTTATCTCTCCACTTCTTGCTCTCTCTCTCTCTCTCCGCTGGGAATTTTCACTATAATGCTCCAGACTTCATTCCGTTTGAAAGCTAGAGTGGATCTGGTAGTTTTGTCAATGAAAAAGAGCGTTTAAGGTATTTATTTGCTACAAAATGTCTTCTTTTGAAATTTTCCCTGTGAATCTCTCTTTTCTTTATCTCTATCTTCTTTCGGGCTTCTTCCGGCGATTCCCCTTTCTTTTTTCAGATCTATTCTCTCAAACAGCCCAACTCACCAAGCCGGTCGCTTTTTCTGCTTTTTCTGATTCATTGATCAGTTTACCGACCTTTGACCGGTTCGATTACTGGCCAGTTTAATGGTCTTAACCAAACCGGACCGCTGCCCAGTTCCTTGTCTGATTAGTTTGACTGGCCGGTCATTGTGTTGTATTGGTCCTCTACACAGCTATTCTTCTTCTCCTAAAATTTGCTGTTTGTCACTCAATTATCGTTCTGCTTCTTCTCGAGCACACCACCCCTAGTAAATCTCTCTCCATTTTTGTGTTCTCTCTCTCTCTAACTCACTCTCTCTCATGTCTCTTTGTTATTGATTCTTGTTAGGCTCATCAGTGTCATATGCCACATCTCCAATCTCTTGGCTTCCAAACACTCACTCACGCGGTTTCAGGAACCCTTCTTTCTCTTCCTCCTAAAATATTCCTTCATAATTGATTTTCCATAAAATCATGACTATATTTTTGATTTTTTTTCTTGCTAGATAAATGTGAAGATCTATGTCATCTATGGGGTTTGGATTGAGTTCTCATTGATATAAAAGATTTGAAGTGCTTAAATCTTATTTGGAATGGTTGTTGCAAGATTTCATTTTGGTTTCCCATTAAAGTTACTTTATTAAATAAGGAAACTTTTCTTTTTACATGAATAAAATAAGAGAACTGAAATGTTATACAAAGTTAATTAATGGATAAAATATTGTACATTTTTGTATTATTATTATTGCGACGGACCATACTTAGCTTATTTATACAAGTTACTTCAAAAGCATCTTGTTCCCCTGATTGCTTTTGTTAATCAAATTTCACAAAAAAAAAATGAAAATGAAAAAATTAGATACAGTAATCAGTAATTTCACTATCGGTCTCATATTTGTTATCTTTCCTGAAGTTTCTTCTTTATCACAGTTTGTGTGCGGTGATATCTCCATGCATGTTCATGGCAGGTTGGCTTCTCCAATTTTCTTGCTTCCAAACAGTTGGCTAACTTGAATTGCATGCATACCATTTTGAGGCAAAGTGTGATCTTATTTCTGTAAAGCATCATTTTGTTAATTGGAAAATTACAAATAGATCATATATAAAGTACTTATTTTCAAATAAGTCCCATAAATTTGTAAATAATATACTCAAGTCCCATAGGACTTGGTTATATAAAATTAATTTATCATGTAAAATGACACCAATGCCCTTGGATTGACTCCCACCCTTTGATTGGCATTGACTGACTGGTGCCGGTTATTGACCTCACAAATTTACAAGTTAAACATCTTAATTTACAAATCTTAATACTGTAAGAGGTCGATTATAAATGTTAAAACTTTTACTTGTAAATATTGAATATTTACTTGATGCTTAACTTGTAAATTTTGAATTATTAATATTTTAATAAAAATATTTTTGACTTGTTAATGACCATCGGCCACCAATCAATAATAACTAGTGGTCAGTCAATGTTGATCAAGGAGATGGGAGTCATTTGCGTCATTTTACTTGGCCAATTAATTACAACCAAGTCATATGGGACTTGAGTATATTTTAAAAAATTTGTAGAACTTATTTGTAAATAAATTTCTTATATCAGACTTGTTTGTAGTTTGCCTTTTGTTAAATTTCAAACACTAATCTTATTTCAAATAACTTTTTATATTTATGGCAGATAGGCTTCAGTCATATTCCCATGTACTTCTTTGCTTCCAAATAGTTGAATTTCTTCAGGTCCAGAAATAAATTTAATTGCACGCCATTTTCAGGTAAAGTGATCGTTTTTCCTTGTGGCATTTATTAAATTATGAATTTTGATCTATGGCTATATGTATGGCTTTTGAATTTGAATTTTTTTTATTGGCGAGGTTAGTTTTAATAACTATGATCAAAATCAATTGAAATTTATAAAGTCTTTGAAAAATTGAAATTAATTCTTATCATCCAAAATTACAACTAAATTTTACGAGAATTGCTATTCCTATTATGTTTTAAAGGTTAGTAGTATATTTTTAAGAAAAATAATAACTTATTTTTGTTGTAAAGTAAACAAATTTTACAATTCTAAACAGTGTTATAATATATATATATGCAATGAATAATACTTTAAAATTCTAAAATAACACTGCTATCTCAAAGAAATATCAATAGTAATCATAATATGCAAATTTGGATTCGGTGAATGGTCTAAATCTACTTACTCAATGAATGTGGAACATTCTACAAGCCATTAAAAGACTCGCTCCACCCATGCTTACCATATATATATATATATATATATTTATATATAACCATGAGATCTCATATTTCAGGAACTAAAGGTTATTCAAACATACACATGCAAACCATGATCGAGAATTGATGTACTTTCATAAATCACTTAGTCCAAAATTCTCTTTTCATCAATTCATTCATAAACAACAACAGGTTTTAAGGTATACAAGCATGCTAACCAGGTTTTATTAATAAAAACATAAAAACCGACCTCAACACAGTTATTCAAGTATTACTCAACGCATGATTTTTAAGTGTGTATGTGAAAGATATAATCAAATTTACCTCACTCCTTAGCTTAACAAATATCAAACCTTGAATGCTCTCACATGCTAGCCATCTTTCGCAAATAATGTAAATATACATAATTTCTGACAATTCTCTCCAATTAAATATTAGAGGAGTCTATTCAAGCTAACTTTAGAAATTCAACATCCCAAATAAAATCTGACTTCTAGTATTAATTCACCTCTACCCAAGCCAAATTCCACCAATTCCTAATCGAACTAGTCCATTACAATCATAAATTACCCATCACATCACCTAATTTTTGAAGTTGTATGGTTCAATACGCAACATACCCATATGTGAAGTCCAATACTGAACTCCAAATCAATCAGATAGAAATTCAATTTAAACTTTAAACAAACTTAACTATACCATCAAAACACAATTTAATCAGTGGAAATTTATCATAATGGTACATCAACTCCCAAAGCTATAATATTCCATCCAGGGTTTCACTACAATTAACAATACCAATCAATGAAGTGCCACAACGCTGAATGTTAGAACAGTAAAACAACTCCTAACAATTCAATTAAACTCATTTCAATCAATAAAAAATTTAAATATTTCGAATTCCACCATCAACCCATCATTTTCATCACTAAACCCACAAAAATTGAAGATCGAAAGGTAGGAATCAAGTTAGGAAAGCTTAATTACCTTAAGGCACTACGAAAAAAAAAAAAAACTTTCAGTGGCAATTCTAAAAAGTAACCGCTGAAAATTAACAGTCTGTGGCGACAAAAAAAGTCACCGCTGAAAGGGTAACTATCTGCGGCGATAATAAATAGTTGCCGTCGATTGTCAAACTTTCAGCAGCAACAAGTATATGTCGTTGTCAAAGGTCTAAGTTTCAGCGGCGATATAGAAGTCATTGTTGAAAATTGACAATCAGCGGTGACTTTTTAGAGTCGTCACTAATTGTCAACATATTTTAAAATATATTATAATTTCTTAAAAAATAATATTATAATAAATATCTTATAAGTTTCAGTTGCGACATAAAAGTCACTGCTGAAAGTTGACAATCAGCGGCAACACCATAAAGTCACCACTGAAAACTGAAAGTAAGACTTTCAATGGCAACCTTTTGTGGACTTTTAGCGGCAAAATTAAATGTTGTCGTTGAAAGTTTTATTTTATATTTTCAACAATATTTTATATTTTTGTTTAATCTAATATTTAAATTTTTAAGACATTAATTTTATTGCATTATTGTAATTTTATAATAAATATATAAAATAACATAATGAGTTTTCATTTAATATATTTTATGGTTAAATTATAATTTTAAAATAATGAAATTATTTTAAGATAAGGTTAAGGTATTATTTAATACTAATAAGTCGGAGCAAAGAATTAAGCCAAACTATATTATTTTACATCACTTTTTATTATCAAGTAATGTTTGGTTTGATTCAATACAACTATTAAGGCCAATTTAGTTAATTGGTTTTGAGAACAGAAAGTGTTTTTAATGATGTTATTTTCTCTTTCCTTCATTTTCATATATTTAACTTTTTCTACCCACACCTATCAAGGGCTAGCTCACAACATGTAGATGGCTTCTTTTCCCAATTCTAAGCATAAGCTCAACATTTTTAATAAGGATTCAAACAATGAAATAAATTGTATTTTTTTATGAAAAATGACAATTGAGGATCCCTAAGATTATTAATTATAATTAGGGACCATGAATTATTAAAATATCAATAATGGCCATGATTTTTACTTGGAATTAAAAAAAATATGTGAGTTTACAAAATTAAACATGGAAAATAAAAGAAATGACACTACTGAAATTATTATGATGGATTGGGACTATTGTTAATTTTAGTTGAAAAAATTAGGATCCATGCTTGGGAATAGATTGTTTCCTAGTATAAAACTAAAATTTACTATTGTGAAACTTTCGAAAGGCACTTATAAATATATGATAGTCACTTAAAAATTTACCAAAAGTGAGGCAAACCACTTAAAAAATCAAGAAAGAACATATTGAAGTTATTATTATGAGTTGGTACTATTGTTATTCTCAATTGAAAAAATCAAGATCCCAAGTGTTATGCGTGAGACCCTTGAAATTACTATTATGGGTTAAGACTATTATTAATCCTATTTCTAAATATAGGTCATCATTTTCCTAACTGAGATTAGCAATAACTCCAACCCATAATAGTATAATTTAGGTACTCAAAGACAATTTTATAAACTCATATGTTTTTAATTTCAAGTAAGAACCATAGTCCATTATTGAGATTTCAATAATTTAACATTTAATTGTAATTAATAGTCTTATAAGATTTTTAATTGTCATTTTTCTTTTTTCCTTTTATTATTTGATGCTATCTTGCGACATAAATATAAAACAAAATTAGATAATATAGTGTATAATTTTCTTACAAAATTATAATTTAAAAATGAAAACTAATTAAAAAAGTAAAGTGTAATGTAAAAAAAACCCAATTACATTACTTAAGAATTATTGTTAATTAAAAGTAAAAATAAAATTTTAAATAAAACTAGCTGGAAAAATAAATAATTGTGAACTAATGTATAATTATCTACATTAAAATAATTATAAATATTATAATTATAAATATGAACATTAAAATAAATAATATAATAGCCTCAAGAAGTAAAAAAATTAAAATAAATAATGCAAATGATATTGTATCAACTATATTTATAGTTCACTTTAGACAAAATAAATAATATCATTTGCAATTTGAATAAATTAAAATAATTAAGTTGAAGTATTTAATGATAGTAATGAGATTTTATAATATTTAATATTTAATATATATGTGTGTGTGTTTGTATAGTTTAATAATATATATATATATATATATATATTTAATTGTGTAGTAATAGACTGTAGGTTCATTCCAGCACAGTGGCAAAATGGTGAGACACAAAAGAGGAGGTGAGGTGCGACACGTGGAGGGCTAAGGTGGCAACACGTGGTTGGTAAAACCAACATTACTTTTTAGCGGCGACAAAAAAGTTGCTGCTGATTGATAGTTTCTTCAGCGATAAATGTCACCGCTGATACTTAACATTTTGTCGCCATTGATATATGGTTTTCGTGGCAACTTTTGTTGCCACCTATTCTCAACTTTCAGTGATGACTATCTTTCTGTAGCGACAAATTTTCTTTTCCACGGCAACATTTGTTGCCGTCGATTCTCAACTAAATGTCACCACAGATAGAATTAGTGACAAGAACTTTTGCAGTGATATTGTGGCGACTTTTTATCACCGCTGAAAACTTTCAGTGATGACTTTTTAGCTTTCAACGATGACTTTTGTCGTCATTAAAAGTCAATTTTTTTGTAGTGAGGTTTGGAAGCTTTAAAAGCATCCCAAGCCCAAAATTTTTCAACCGTAATAGGGCTCTTTCGTCTTCACCACCCTTTCCTTTCTCCCTCTTTTCCTATTTTGTGATATACATTTATGCAGATTTTTACATGTTTATGGCGGATTTTATGGATTTTCTCCCAAATTCCTAGGCCCAATCAGCACAATACCCACTTTATTTGTTCCCAATTAACCATTTCCTGGTCACAATTAAGGCTACAAATTCATATTAAAAGTGATAAATCAAATTTGGGATGTTACAGGTTTTTTTTTTGAAGAAATTAGTTGTCACGTTGAAAATTTAATACTTAAGACAGAGAAGATTTAGTAGTCAAATCTGTTTGAATATTCATGTTCAATTCAGATTCTTAAACCTTTTTACTAATATATCTTATGACTTTTTTAGAAAAATTTAGTAGTCATACATTAGAAATTAAATCCCTTAGACAAAGCTGATTATGAAATTTTAGCTTTGAAAAGGAAACGATGGAGAAGAAAAGAAGAGAAAAAACTATTGGGAAAATTTTATTTTATTAGAGGGTGAATTAATGGAAAAATCACCTTTCATCCTCCATAACTTTATATAATATGTTTTAGTTTGGTCTCTTAATTTTATAAAATATCTTTTTAATCTCATAACCTTAGTACTGTACTGTTAGTCTCAAATGATGATTTTATGTCAATTATTGTTATGTTAAAAAAATCAACTTAATATTGAATATATAAAAATATTTTATCAATATTTGGAAGTTTAATTTCAGAAATAAAATTAATGATGTGAAGTTTACAGGACAAAAAATATATTTGTTAAAATTAAAATATCAAAATAAAATTATATATATATATGAAATTAAAAACTAAATATATACTTTTGTCTTGAATTAAGAGAATAATATATTTGTTCCAGAAAAAAAATAATGTTATTATAAAAGAAGATAAAGATATAACTAGTTATAATTATAACACAAGGAATTTTCATTTTATTAAAAAAATGAGTGATTTTTTTTTCTTTTTCTTTTTATACACTCTCGCTTTTTTTTCTTTTTGGTGCACGTAATTTCCTTTTTCTTATATACATGCATTCTCTACTTTCCAGTTTGCTGGCTCTGATTGGTTCGTACGTGTGTGGATTCTTCATTCTCCAAATTAAAAAACTATCAAAGGCATGACCGCATGATTCGACAGATCGTTGAAATCTCTCAACAAAGATTGGTACAAGTTTTTACAATGTATTTTTGCTGGGCACATATTCATCGCTATTCACTACTTGTCATCATATGCTATGTGGCCCAAAACGGGTGAAGAACAATATTAACGACGAAAAAAGTTATTATCAATTAAAATTAACGTGAGTGATATTCTTATTACTTAAACAAGTGATTAATAATTTGAACTCAAACTCCTGTATCTATACAATTTAATTAAAAAAGATTTATTCATTTTTTTTAAATTTTGGAGGAGATATTTTCTGTTATCGATGGAACACATTTCTTATACTTATAATTAAAATTTAACAAAACAACTTGTCATTTTCATGTTGAAGGTTGTATAATATTAATTACATAAAATTTAATTTTAACTTTAAATTATTATAATTACTTACCATGTATGCACACCACCGACATCTCTCTTCTGGCATTTGGATACTAATATTATATTACTTCTGGGTGTATTTATAAGAAACATCTTATGGTTGAAATTAAATAGATAGATCAGAAGAAATATTCTTTATTTAGTTACTTTTCTCAATTTTGTTTTGGATTTGCCGTCGTCTGGGCTTAAAAATAAATAGCTTTTTTTATTATTTTAGTTGAGTTGTGGAAAGTATTTTATTTTGTAGAGATTTAAAAAAACAGAAATTTTGTGTATCATCATTCATAAAAATAATTTATTATCTATTTTTAAATTTTATGATATTTTCTGGTATCTCTATATTTTTAAAAAAGTTTCACTCATCCACCCACATCTAATTATTTTTAAAAACTACTCAAAGAAGATTCTCAAAATAAACCTAAATATAATTTTTTCAGCTTCTGATTAATTTAAAAAATTTAAGCAACATGATAAAATTTTTCAAAAATAAGTGATTTTTCAATTGAAAAAAACTTCAACAAAAGCGTTCTAATTCTCCAATATGTATTCAGTTATTTTTCATCTGTGTTATATTTAGGGGTGATTTATTGTAATCAATCAAGCACATACACTTACAAAGTAGATAAATGATTTGCTTTAGTTCGTTCGTGTTTGAATTATTCATTTTAGTTTTTTCTTGGTTGATTTTTGGGAGGAATGACAAATAAAAAATCCCTCTGAAATAGAAAAATGATAATTTAGTCCTGCAAAATATGATAAACCTAATTGTCATTAAATTTTTTGATAAAATGATAGAAATACCTCTTAATTTAAGAAAGTAGAGAAAAATGGTGAGAGAAAGTTTTGTATATCTAAACTATTTTAGTCATTTACTAAACTAGACTTTTGAATTTCAAAATCAAAGTTGTGAATGAAAAAAAAATGGTAAGAGAAAATTGTGAATGCCTAAAGCTAGTTTAGTTATTTTCTGAATTAGAGTTGTGAATTTTAAAACTAAAGTTATGAATGAAAAAATTTGTTACACTTTTTTAAATTTAAAAAAAAAATTTTGTCATTTCATCAAAAGCATTAATGACAATTAGGTCCTTAAAACTTAGATGACATTATAACATTTCACAAGATCAAATTATCATTTTCCTATTTTGCAGGGATTTTTTTTCTCCCTTGATTTTTCATTAAAGTGAAAAAAGAAAACGGAGTAGGGGAAGCAAATATTTTTCTTTTTTGGCCAAAAAGGAGAGATTTTCCTATGAATACATCATTCAACAATAATAAAATCTTAGAAAATAATTTAGTAATTGATAGTATCTTGAACAGGATTGTTTCCAATATGAGGATAGTTGTTGATAACCAAAAAAAAATCTCTAAAAAAATGTTAGTACAAATTTTGATCGGGATGATTGGGATCAGGATAGCCTTATCCCATGGCCCATTCTAAAAATTGGCTAAAACTAGATTTAAGTCCTGTGTCTTGTCCCATACCAAAGGTGGTTCCGTCCCATTTTGGATTGGGATGGGACATGATTAGAAAATTCCAATAAAAGAAAGATGGTGGAAATAAAAGAAATGGAAACGTAAGATTTAATTAATCAACTAGACTATAACAATATCCAATCTTCAAATTCTAAGTAACCAAGCATTTTATTTTCACTTTTTTGCAATAAAAATCTATTTGGTAAGTATCACCATTCACCAACCTCCTCAAAATATAAAATAATGAGAATTTTGTAAATTTAACATAAAATATATTATCTTGTATATAAACTCAATAATCAATATATTACCTAAAATTACATGTACACTTGATAGAGAACTAATAGCAAACATAAATCCTATAAAGAGAGGAAAAAAAACCTAACATAACCATAGTAGACTAAAAACATAACTTTTTCAACACCATATTTATCAAATGATATAGGGTTAAACAGTATTTTTGTTCCTAAACTATTCACTTAGGAGCATTTGATATCCTAAACTTTTATACGGTGCAATTTTTTCCTTCAATTTTTGAAAATGTTGGATTGAGCACCCTCCCGTTAAAAAAGTTAACTTTGATAATTAGTTGACTTTAAAATTGAAGGAAGGGCGCTAATTAAAAAATTATAGAAAAGAGGACCCATAAAAGTACACAAAGTACCTTATAAGAAAATTAATATTAATTAAGTCCCTTAAATTTCTTATAAATAACAGCATATTAATGTTATTTCTTACCCACATAAAAGGCTAGAATATGATTTTGACCAACCATTATTTTAAGAACTTAGTCGGTATTAATTTTCTTATAGGGTACTCATTTGCAATTTTATGGGCCCTTTTATGTAATTTTTAGGCCTTGTTTTGTAATTTTTTTAGTCAACTAACGGTCAAAGTTAACTTTGTTAATAGTAGGTACTCAATGCACTATTTTTAAAAGTTGAAGTGAGAAACTACATCACATGAAAGTTTAGGACATCAAATTCTCCTGAGCAAATAATTTAGGGGCAAAAATAACTTTTAACCCAATTTTATAACTTTTTGAAACCCAAACAACACAAATAAACATCCACAAATCGCAAGTAATAAAATAGGGATAAAATACAAATCTTCTGCTAGATGTATTCAAAAAGATGTAATTGGTATCCTATAATGTTTTTAAAGGCACAATATTGTCTCGACATTTCTCAAAATCAAACAATTTTGCCCTAACTTGACGGTTTGATTGTGTTAACTGTTAACTTTTATTTTTGACCATTAAATGCCTAGATAGTTGGCCACATGGAGGTCCATGTGTGAAAGTGGGATTCATTTTAATGTTTTTTTATTCAATAAGTGTTTTGAAACCCAGACTACACTGTCTGATTGTTGACCATTCAATGAAATGGCTTAGTTCAACCATTTGAACCACTTGAGCATTTTGACCTAGACAGTTTTAAGAGAACCTATAAGGTCTCCCATACTAATCTCTAATTAACTCCAAAAATTAAGGTAATCAAAGATTAACACAAATATGATTACCAAGTTTGTAAAATTTGCAAGATAGGATCCTAAGTTTTCAGAGATTCTTCAACATGTCAAAATAGTAAGCGGAAGCATGGGAATCCAGAAAGTCTCAAAAGCATTTACATAAAAGTTGAAAACAATAAAATAGTGCAAAAACATAGACATGTGCCACAGCTTGTTATACGTGTGCCGTGGCACATTTGTTTTTGTGCCATGCACTGCAACGTGTTGCATAATTTTGTCAATATTGTTGTAGTCATATGATAGCAATTAGAGAGAACTTCCAACGAGCCCAATTTCTCTACTTGATGTTTGATTGAGGTAATCTAGATATCTATGAAGAGCTTTTTCCTAGCTCTAGCTATGGCACTAATTTTACAATTATATCATTTTCCAATCAAAGTTGGACACCCACTTTAAAACTTACTTCTTTTCAATCTTCTTGCCCAATTTGGGTGCCCAATTCACATTTCAAGTGCTAAGAGCCCAACTTACAACATAGACCATAGTCAATAGACCATAATAAACTTGTGTAACAACTACATAAAAAGTTTAACACATCAAATACATTTTTAATGCTCAACCCCTTAATCACCAAAAACAGAAAGGGAGCCTTAATTCACAAACCATCATATCATTCTACAGTAATCACCATTTTCACTCATTTCCTACTTGCAATAGTATTTTCGGCCATGTATTAGATTTCACAATTAATACACATACATCCTAGGGCTCAAAATACATAATTTAATTCAACAATCTAATAGTGCAAGTAAACCAATAACATGTATTTTTCTTATTGGCAATATCATGCAAAATTATACACATAATAATCAAAATGAAAATGAGGCTTACAGATAGGATGATAATCGTATGCCTCAGACTGTTTCCCTCAATCTTGTCCTAATAAGCTAGCTCCTGCAATATTAAAGAGAAAGGGGATGAATACAACCACTTAGTAACTAAAGTTTATCTAACTCATACTAATGCACGTCAATTAATCTAAATGCAAGTGGAAATTATTTTCATTCACAAGTCAATTTAACAAATTCAAGCATATATTTGCATTTTACATCATTACAAGCATATAATCATGAAATGAGAATATAGCAATATCTCATTTTCAGATTAATATAACACTAATTATATGTTTTCATCACAAGGGTTACAGCATAGACAATCATGTGCCCTTATTATCATAATATGCATGATCACACCTCCCTTATATCCTCTTTATGCCTCTGACACAAAATCATAGGCTACAACACTTTGCGATTATCTATGAAATAAGACTATATTAGCTATTCATGCGTGAGAGGCTACATCGCCAAGGTTGCCTAACTCAATTATGGGCCATATATTCCTGCAATTCTCACACTATAAGGTGTCATTCTTTCTCAACTAGCTTGCTCGTCGAAAAAGTGGAAAAGCTAATTAGGTTTGAGTCCCTCATCAAACAAGTGGGATAGTCCCTCATCGAACAAGTGGGATGATGAGTATAAACAAATCCAAGCAAACCATTGAGCTCTAATGGTAGTCTTACCATGTGAATTTTAACTCTGTACTCCTTTTCCTAGTGAACTCCCACCTCTTATGATCATGCAAAGCATATCGATGCAATATTTCACGACATGCAAATACTCAATGCTCAAGGCATGCATAATATCATCATTGTACTCAAGTAATGAATGTACATCACATAAAATTCACATAACCAAGTCATTGCACTCCACTTTATTTATCATCAGACTCCTCACTATACACATTTATTGAACTCCACAAGCATTACATCATTGAATTCCATAAAAGTTATTTCACATAAAATATGTTATTGAACTTCACAACTACTATTTCATTGAATTTTACACACATCAAGTTATTGAACTCCACAAAACATAATATTTGATTTTTAAATATTCCACGCCATACTTGCATTTCAATTAATTTCACACATTTCAATTGTAACCCTCCCCTTTTATCAACATGATATAAGGAGAGAATTAACATAATCACCACTCCCAAACCAAATCGTAATTCAAAAACTTTGTCTGCAAAAGCTTGAGACCCAGACTTGGTTTCCAAAAACATCATAATCACATAAAATTTAATACATAATAATCGTTGCACAATGAAAGACATTCTTGCATTCATCACATTCAATACATGCCATTCAAACAGAGATACATAGTCTGATAATAGGGCATGTGCCATGGCATGTGGTACAGAGCCACGAGCTGACCCTATCTGTACCATGCATCGTGGTGCACATTTGACAATATTTGCTGTTGTCATATGATAGTTCACGCAGGCCGAACTTCCGGCATGCACCATTTTTACATATGATGTCTGATTATAGTGATTTAAGCGTTCACACGAAGTTTATTTCATAAGCTAGTTAATGGGATATTTGGACACGATTTAACAGTCCAATCAAAATTTAAACACCCGGGTGCAAAAAATTACTTTTTCTAAAAATTAATTGCACTCAAACTCTCAAATCACTCACATTATGTCATTAAACCTTCTTAGGCCTTAAACTAAGTCTAAAAGGACCTTTCACACCTGATTGACCACATTTTATATCATATACACATACAAATTAAAATTTGGCCATTTAACAGCCCATTTTCACAAATATAAACTTTTCCAAAATATCACCACAATATAGTATTTGGGCAATAATCCATTTCATTTATCACACATTCACCACTAAAATATTCACAACATAATCACAACTAAATCTTAGGCTCTGTTATTCATTTCACCATATATTTCTACATAAGGGCTAAGATTTATACGATCACTACAAATCTCAACAATTTCAACAATTCACAACTTATAACCATCCAAAACATGCATGTAAATCTTATGGCAACTTATATTTACAATATTCATACTAGTTTGAGTTCATTACATAAAACTCTGAGATGTATGGCTTTATTAACACTAAGTTGGCTCTAAATCTTTCCATTTGCCTTAATCACTACTATGTCTTATAAAAAATATAACCATGGGGTAAGATAATAATCTCAGTAACAGAATAAATCTCTACTCCCAATTATCTCCTATAACTATAAGCAAGTATAACATAAATTACAATTAAACATAGCATGTAACATAACTTTCACTATAGTTCACTTCATTAAATCATATGCCACCACTTTCATAAGCATTTTCACAATAGTTAACCATTAATAGCATGATCACTATCATCCAAACCTCCAAGTTACCCCGACTCAAAACCATAGGCTTGCCTTAGACTAACACACACACTCATTGTTCCTAAGCTGACCTTCAATGGTAGAATCACCTAGCCAAAGGCATTATATCTCACTTTTGGACTATAGTTTCCCCCATTACATACAATGGGGTGTCGTTGGCTCCAACACCGCATCACAGATTGCATCACAGATGCTAAGGGGCCCAGATCTCCAATACTACAACTCAATAAGCGCTAAGTAGATAATGTCCAACACTGTATCTCAAAAGGTACTAAGGAGATACAATTCTCCAATACTGCACTTCATCGGGTACTAAGGAGAATAATGTCATATGATCTTTTACTACTTCTCTTTATAGGTGAATTTCCAACCTTATGATCATACTCTTATACAATCACCTCTTTACATACATACATACATGCATACATATATATATATATAGAAATATAGGTATATATATAACCCTTTGTAAAATTACAAAATTATGCAATTAATAAACCCAATTCTTTTAAAATCACTTTCATGCATTAAAACATTCATTTAACATGTACGCGCATTCTAAAACATTTCCATCTAATAATATTCATACTCTGAAACAGTTACAAGAGATAATAAACTAGAGAAAGTTATTTAGTTACCTCAACCCTTCTATCACAAGAAAGCTTAACTTCCCAAAGCTAACTTCTAGGGTTAATTTATTCTATCCAAAACTAACTTCCAGCAATTTCTAATCTAACAAGTCAATAGTAGAGTTAGGACCCTAAGTTATGGGGGTAATTTTCTTTTAAAAAAATTAATAGTTTTAAAAATAATTTAATAATTAAAACATAAATTATATAGATTTTTTATATTACTGGATTTTGAGGTAAAAATTTAGACTCAAGTTTAGAAAAATAATAAAATGGATTTAGTGTTGAAAATATTAAAGTATAAAATTGAAAATTTCATACACATTATATATAATTTTCCTAAGTGAGCGGAGAATGTGCCCACCCTAGGGTTCAGTCACTTTAACTTATTCGAATCATAAATTACCCATCACTCACCAAATTTTTCAAGTTACGGTTTGACACGCTTCAGTCTTCATCATCATCTTTTTTCCCTTCCCATTTTACCATCTTCGTCTTTTGGTACAGTTTTTGGATCTGCAACTTCAACAATCTGCGACTTCATTAGAGAGACACACAGCAAGGTATGGAGCTTCATTTCTCTTCATCAACACCAAATCCTTTGTTTCTCTCAGAAAATCTCTCATCTTTTTCGGCTTATTATTATTCTGTGCTTCGACCTGTTCACATGCATCAAAATTATTCGTTATATATGAAAAACAACAAATTAAACAGAGATCTAGACGACTTCAAATTCCTGTGGTCGAAGTAGCCAACATTAATGTATTTTATGCTTCTTGTAACGTTTTTGTCTGTTTTTTTTTAGAGTAATAGGTTTATTCTTTAATTACCGAATCTCTCTTAATTTATATAATTCATTTTCACTTTCATTTATTTGTAGAGATCATCTCCTCTGTAATCCCACTGCGTCCTTTACTCTATCTCCAGCATTGAGAAGGGATACCAACAACCGCAAGGTATGCTTTCTTTTAATTCCTTCAAATTACATGAGAACTAACAATAGCAAAAGCAATGCAGTCCCACATGTTTTTATTTAATGAAAAATGGTTTTTTTAATATATTAGTGGTATTTGTTGCCATTCATTTGAGATCAATTGTTTAGTATATCATAAGTTATGAATGCATACTATACTCTTTGTTTTTCTCAATCATTCACCATGGTTTCTTCCCTATCTCTGAGTAAATCTATCATCTTTTTCTGCTTATTTTTATTACTCTCTGGTTACCATTTAGCTTCTGCTTCGACCAAGTTTTATGAGAATGACTTTACATGCATCTAAATTATTCGTTATGAAGAACAAAACAGATCTAGTCATCTAGATGACTTCATATTCCCGTGGTCAAAGTAGCCACCATGAAAATATTGCGTGTTTCTGATAAAGTCTTTGTCTGTTTTTTTTTTTTTTTTTAATTTCGGTAATAGGTTTCTTTTTCTTTTAAAAAAACGTTATCCGTTTCTACATTCTCTTACTAAGGAGGGTATTGCGTCCATTTTCTTGAATTGTTTTTGAGAATAAATTTTGGATCTTTGTTTATTTTTCTTGAAACGAGACGGTTGATCTGGTCACCTTAACCATTGTTCAATTAGCTTGCTGAAATATTAATTAATTGATAAATGCATGGAGGTATTAATAGTGTGAAACACTAAGTCTTGATTTGGATGGGAGCGAAAGTAAGAAGAAAATAGGGAGTAGAAAAATAGCAAAACTATTAAACTATATTATTTTTGTTATGTTGTTAATTTTCAAATCTCTTAATTTATATAATTTTCTTCACTTTCATTTATATGCAGATATCATCAGATCTGTAATTCCAGTATTTCCTTGCTCTATCTCTACCCCCCAGCTACAAGAAGAGAGACCGCAAGGTATGATTTCTTTCAATCCCTCCAGATTACAATACAATTAATAAGTAAAGGCAATGCAGTAACTCCCCTCCCCTAAAAAGTGATTTTATTTTTCTTGCGTAAAAATTTTGTTGTCTAGTTTCTGTAGAAGGAATTAATGATAATTGTCTATTGTTTGTTTCTCTGCTGGAAATTTGGTCTGTTAAAAGAGTCTTTGTTTGTTGAAGAGACAGGCTTATTTTTACAGGACTAATAAATTTAAAAAATTAAATGACTTTTCTAAATTTAGATTGATATATTTTTATCATGAAAGATTAAATTAAAATTAAAAGTCGTAATATTTTAAGAACTAATTGAGTCATTAACAGCCTGCTTGTTTTCTATTTTCAAAAATTATTTTTTGTTTTTGAAAACAGAAAAATTTAAAAATTTATTTGGATAAGTGTTTTTCATTTAATTATTTTTAAAAATGTTTTCATTTTTTGTTTCTAAAAACAAAAAAATAGTAACAACTTTATGTTGTTTTAATTTAATTTTTCTTGTTTTTAAAACACATTACATTTTTCAGTTAAAAAAAACACATTACATTTTATTATTGAAAATTATAGTTATCTTGACCAATTTATATTATTAATCACTACCATTAACTGCTTATATCCATCACTATTAGTCCCTTTTTAATTTTAAAATTTTTTTTAATTAGCATAACCAAACAAATTCTTATTTTATTTTGTTTTGAAAATTTTTTTTGAAAACTGAATTATAAAACAGTTTTTAAAAACAAAAAATGAAAATAGAAACCAAACAGGCTCTAATTTATTGATTTCCATGCTGGATGTTATTGTGTCAATTTTTGGCATATATTAATATGTGTATTGCAAATGGTTTAAAGTAGCTATTTTTTTCCCCCTTCACAGAACATGAAGATAATGAATGCAAACACACTACCATTCCACTTTAATATATCAGTGGTATTTGTTGCCATTCATTCGAGATCCAATGTTTAACTTTTATAGCATACCTTAATAATAAACACTCATTATTGTGATGAGCATGGAATGAGAACGTGTTGTGAGGAGGAGGTCATGTAGCTTATTCTATCACGTTAACCACAATATCACATAACAAAATTGAACATCAATTAACCTGTCTTAACAAATTAGTAAAATAATTAATGTGAGTTCACGTATAAATTAATTTTCAAATATTCGTTTGTTAGAAAATATTTTTTCAATAAAATGAATAAAATGACATGGTACTGTGTTCCAGAATTTCTCAATTCTCTTCATATCTGTAATCAAACTTTCAACTTTTTTCCCAGAAAGTAATGAAAAGATAGAAAAGAAAAGAAAATTTCATAATGGGATGCAACTGTAACTGCATCATTACTGCAAGAATCGCACAAATAAAAAGTTAACGCGGCTGTCTGTTGTGTCACTTTCATCTGTATCCGCACGCCACTTACTTACATCTCGTACCATTTTATTTTTCCCCTGCCCATCACCCAGCATAACAATATGTGAACTCCAATATTAAACTCCAAATCAATCCTTCATAGAACTTCAACTTAACTTTAAACAAACTTAAATATTCCATCAAAACACATTTCAATCACTACTGGAATGGAATATTATAATCCTACATCAACTCCCAAACTCCATCTACGGTTTCACTACAATCCTCAATAAAGTGCCACAATTCAATATGTTAGAACACTAAATTAAAACAAGGGTTGAGGGTCAATTTTGTTCCTGAATTGTATATGAAAGGTAACAAATACTCATAAACTCAACTATGAGTCAATTTTGTCTCTTAATTTTAAACATTTTCTTTTTTATCATCTTGTCATTTTCTTGCCGTTAGTTAATCATTGGTGGGCCTCACATTATATTTTTAATATTTTATTATAAACTATTTGAGTTAAGGGGCAAAAATGACCTTGACTTGATAAAAAAATACTTAAAAATAGCGGGACCCATTGATGAACTGACTAAGGGCATTAAGTGCGTTAAGTTGAGGGATATGATTAACCAATAATTGAGTTTAAAGTCATTTGTAATATTTTATGTATAGTTTAAAGACAACAATAACCCTTAGCCCTCAAAACAACTGCTAACGATTCATTTAAACTCATTTCAATCAATAAAAAAATTTAAATACATCTTATGACTTTTTTAAAAAAATTTAGTAGTCACACATTAGAAATTAAATCAGTTAGACAAAGCTGATTGTGAAATTTTAGTTTCTAAAAGGAAATAATGGAAAAGAAAAGAACAGAAAAAAATGATTAGGAAAATATTATTTTATTAGAGGGTGAACTAATGGAAAATCACCTATCATCCTCTATAACTTTATATAACATGTTTTAATTTGATTTCTTAATTTTATAAAGGTATCTTTTTAGTCTTATAACTTTAGTACTATTAGTCTCAAAGGATGACTTTTCATGTCAATTATTCTTATTTTAAAAAAAATCAACTTAATATTTCAATATTTGAAAATATTTTATCAATATTTAAATTTTAATTCAAAAATAAAACTAATGGTATTGGGATTACAAGATAAAAATATATTTTTTAAATTAAAATATTAAAATGAAATTTTATGTAGAAAGAGAAAGATATAATTAGCTAGTTCTAATTATAACACAAGGAATTTGCTTTTTTCCCCCCTTTTTTATACACTTTCACTTTTTTATATACACGCAATTTCCTTTTTCTAACATATGTGCCCTCTCCTTTGTCTAGCTTGCTGACTCTGATCGGTTTGTACGTGTGTGAATTCTTCATTTTCCAAATAAAAAAACTATCAAAGGCATGATGACATGATTCAATAAATTGAATAAAGGTTGGTATAAGTTTTGACAGTGTTTGCTTTTTATTGGGCATATATACATCACTATTCACTACTTTCATGATGTGCTGTGTCTTTCAAACGTGTGTAAGACAATATTAACAAAAAAAAAAAACTTGTTATGAATTAAAATTAGAACAATTTCATTACTGACCCTAGACCAAGGATAATAAAAAAGAGAACCTTTAAAGTCTTAAATTTTATTACAAATCTAGGGTACTGAATTGAAATTAAAATTATTTGAAAAATGACAAGATTGTCCCTATTAAAAATCTCTTTCACAACTTATTTATATCCCCATTGTATGTTGTTTAATACTCTTCAAATAATAATTTATTGCCCTACTTCAATTGTTCATTATAATACTTCCACTTAAATAAATTTAAATGTTGTTTTTATGTTTGTATGTCTTGTTTGTGTCCCTAATGTATGTGATTTATGACTATTTAGATTGTTATTTATTGCCCTACTTCACAACACTTTCATTTGAATTGATTCTGAGTGTTGTTTTTATGTTAGAATGACTTGTTTGTATCCTTACTGTATGTTATTCATTACTCTTTAAACTGTTGTTTATTGCTTACTTTATTTGTTTATAACTTATGTATTTATAGTTTTGTTTTTTTTTTCTTGTTAAATTTCTTTTTCTTCCAATAGGGACAATCTTGTTATTTGTTAGAAAATTTTTATTTCAATTCAGTGCCATAAACTTGTAGTAAAGTTTCAGAAAAAGGATTCTTTTTCTTATTATCTTTGATCCAAAGGTCTTCAGTGAAATTGTTTCATTAAAATTGGCATCAGCGACATATTCTTGGAAAAGATTTACACATTTTTCTAAGAATTTCGTGGGAGATGTACTCTGTCGACGGAATTTACTGCTTATAATTATGATTAAAATTAATCCAAAAAAACTTGTTATTTTCATGTTGAAGATTGTAATATTAATTATATAAAATTTAATTTTCTACTGGTGTTATAAAGCACACTTGAAATTTGAATCACCTAGCATATTAACAACTAATTTATTAATCGCACACATTTTAGTTTTAATTTTAAATTATTAGAATTACGTGTCATGTATGCATACCATCACATCTCTCTTCACATTTGGATATTATGTGTACTAATATTATATTACTTCTGGGTGTATTTATAAGAAACAACTTATGGTTAAAATTAAATAAATAGATCAGAAGGAACTTTCTTCTATTTGGCTAAAAAATAAAATAATTTATTATATATTTAATTTTTGATTTTATGAAATCTTTGTATCATCATTCATAAAAATAGTTTATTATGTATTTTCAAATTTTTATGATATTTTTGGTATCTCTATATTTTTTAAAAGTTTCACTCATCCACCCACATCTAATTATTTTTAAGATAGCTTCTCAAAATAAACCTAAATGTATTTTTTTCAGCTTCTGATTATTTTAAAAAATTTAAGCAACATGCTGAAATTTTTCAAAAATAATTGAAAAAAAACAAACTTAAAACAAATGCGTTCTAATTCCCATATGTGTCGTCAGTTATTTTTCATCTGTTTCGTATTTAGGGCTGATTTATTGCAATCAATCATGCATATATACTTAGAAAGTTGATAAATGATTTGCCTTAGTTGGTTTGTGTTTGAATTATTCATTTTAGTTTTTCCTTGGTTGATTTTTGGAAGAATGACAAATCAATTCCTCCAAAATAGGAAAATAAAAATTTAGTCTCACAAAATATGATAATGCCTTCTAAATCCTAAAAGACCTAATTGTCATTAAATTTTTTGATAAAATGATAAAAATATCCCTTAATTCAAAAAAAAAGTAAAGAAAAATGGTGACAAAAAGTTGTGAAACTCTAAACCATTTCAGTCATTTTATGAACCAGACTTGTGAATTTTAGAATCAAAATTGTGAAAAAAAAATTTATTGTACTTTGCTGATTGAAAAAAATGGTAAGAGAAAGTTGTGAATGCCCAAACTACTTTAATCATTTGTTAAACTAGAGTTGTGAATTTCAAAACTAAAGTTGTAAACGAAAAAACCATGTTGCACTTTTTAAATTAAGGAGTATTTTTGTCATTTCATTAAAAACTTTGATGACAATTATGTCCCTTGGGACTCAGATGGCATTATCACAAGACTAAATTATCATTTTCCTATTTTA